GAGTTAAAATAACCTGACTTTCTATTTGCCATGGAGGTTCGGTTATAGTGATTTGGGGCCTACTGACTCTAGTATTTCCATATCTAATCTCGTATTTCATATATTTAACTCCTTTCTAGAGATTAAGAAAATATTTACAGACAAACAGACGACAGTGGAAATTTATAAGTTTATAGTTTTTTTCAAATTTCAGTCCAATTAGGAATTTATGTTAGGATGCACTTTTATACCCTAGTTAGTTTATACTGTTATTTTCACAAACTGAAATTTTTTTGAGAATAACTACAGTGAAGTTTCTTCTTCAAACTCCGTCTCGTTCAGTTGGTTTGCCTATTTGTCACGATTCGATATAGTTTGATCCAGGTTCGTTGAAAGTACACCTCCACACTCAAGATAGAGAATATTTACAGTTTATTTAAAATATATATGCAATATGAGTATACAAGTTGGAAAACACAGTAAATAGTGTGTGAGAAGCCAAGGGCATAGAATTTTGACCTATGTCACTTACTGACACACAATCGTTAGAGCCGCCGCAAACTAGCGCTTTGCGAGAGCAAAACGCTAGCAAATATGCGCTAGCACAACCGATGACGTCGAAGGCTCCTCCCCTTTCTTCTTGCTCGCGCTGTTTTTCCTTCGCTAGCGCAGCGATACGAGAGTACGCTCGCTGTTCAGAGAATTCAACAACTAGAGCATTTACGCTAGCAAGACAGAGCGGGAAAGACGGATGACTACATAAACATGTCATATATCGAAAAATAAATAACAGAATTTTATCGATGTACGTAAATTACATGACTAATACGTATTGAAAAGAAAATAGTATAACCGTTGTATGTAAATAGTAATATACAGTATAAATAGTTTTCGGCTAGTTAAGCCTAACTAGGCTTAACTAGTAAACATGTTTTTTCCATGCTGTTTCAAAGTTCGGAACGAAAACTGACTGATTACAAGTATAGGTTATAATAAAATTTTGTTCTATAGCCAATCTACATCTGTGGAATCCACGTCATGTGGACTACGTTACGCGAGCAAACGTTGTGTAGTTTGCGGCTGCTTCGTGCTCGCGTAGCTTACCTAGCAAAAATGGTTCATAGCATCATGGGAAAAAATGCGGGGCTTAGGAGCGCGAGCGAGCGTACGCTAGCTCCCGCATCCTGTAGTTTGCGGCGGCTCTTAGGAGCGCGAGCGAGCGTACGCTAGCTCCCGCATCCTGTAGTTTGCGGCGGCTCTTAGATTGGCTCACTACTTTTAAGGAGGGCTTTTTAAAATGTTGAAAAAGATCTAGAGGATAAATTCTAGATCTCGTCAGGATCCTTGACACCAGTTAATCGAATTTACAACCCGCGGATTAACACGCGTATTGAATAGTTTAGAAGATGATAAGATAGTTTTGATTCAGACATCTTAAGAGACATTTCTTTAACATAAAAACAAATATTTAATAAACAAGAAAATTATACAAAGTGGTCCTTCAAATATATCTATATATGAGAGAGAGATTTCAACTTCAATTAAACCATACTACCTCAAAATATATCTTCTTTATGCATATTCTTGTGCGAATGTTCTTATCTTTGGTTAGTTCTTCGGCGGCACTTCAGTAAACATTTTCTTTCTATTCAGTAACTTAATAACAAATTCAGTATGAGCTATGAATGGACCACACGTGGATCCAATTAGCGAGGTCGGCGAGTCTTTTATTCCCTCTCTGTTTACAACTTTGTTTACAATACTTACAACTACATTTGTTACTTACACTTCGATGGTTATGCTATAAGCATATAAATATCAATGAAAAATAATTCTTTACAAAATTTCTGTAAAACTTTATTTGTCAACAAAATATTTCATTCTTTCACAAACTGTTTATAATCGACATTTTACAGCTTCTACTTTAGATGATTGAAATTTAAAGAATTAAAAAGCATTCACGGTTATTAATGGTGGTAAATTACTTCATGTAATGGAAAATAATTTCTTCCAGCTTTAAAAATTAGTGTTATTAAAATAATAATTAAATTTCAGTATAGTTTTGTATTCTGTTATCAAATATTATTTGATTGATTCAAAAGTTACTGGAATTTTCTAGAGTATTATAATACAAAATGTATTTTAAAACCAAAAATAGTTTATTCCAGAAAATAATTATCATTACAATCAAACACCTTCTTTTATATTTTGAGCAGTTGGTGAATAAATCTCAGGCTGCTTTGTCTGGAATAACTTAGCAATTTCGATTTTCAACTAGTCATTAACAGTAAACTGCTTTCTATCTACGATGTGCTGGTGAAGGTACAAAGTTAGTAGTCTCAATATGAATCATATATTGGGATTAAACAAATGGAATAGAAGCAAAGTATAAACCATAAACCATAGATAGTAGTTTAATGCTAATGCTACCACGTTTTTAGATTTAGATACATGTGGTGGAAAGTGATCCTTTCAGCCAGATTAAGTAGATTCTGCCTAGTTAATCATGACCTATCGTGTTGCATTCTAATAAATCGCACCATTTAAATTAATCTGTGGTCGCGGATTGTGGATAGCATCAGCCAAGATTTGCAGCTAAATACGATAACTATACAGGTATTCCGCAGAAATATCTGTCAATGATCTGATCTGATTACATTCCAGCAAATATACAGCACACATAATATTGCGCTAATGCAATTGCAATTTTGGCACATAATATTTATTCACTTACGATTGTGCACCTCAACAAGCTTCATTTACAAATCCTACAAGAAAATTCCTTCTGCCTTCTGTCAAAAAACAATTTCAGATATTGTAAAGAACTAAAATAATTTCAGAATTTTTGCATCAGCTCGATATAATTCGATAAATAATGCTAAAAGTATAATTTCTAACTGTGGGTATCATTGACATGTTCCATCAAACAATATACAGTAATACCCCGAACTTACGCGATAGGTGGGACCGAGCGGTAACCGCGTAAGTCGAATTCGCGTAAGTCGGGGTATAGTTTTGCATATAAATACATACAAATAATTTTTAATTGGGGCCGAAGACTAAAGAAAACAATAATTTAGTAAAAAAATGTTTAATAAAATCTTAGATAATACATATGTATAACAAATTAGGCCTATATTATTTTACAATTTTTCATATTTACTTGATTATTACGCCATAATTTTAACATTGTTTCCATTTCAGCGATAATACTGTGACGTTTACGAATGATGCTTGAATTTAAAGATTGAGCATTTTTCACAGCTTCGAGAATTTTTTCTTTGCCTTTTATAATTGTTCTGACCGACAATTCCGGTAGATCAAACTTCTTTGCCAATTCACAAATTTTCATTTTTGTATCGAAGTCTTTAATAATGGGTACGTTCGTAAAGTCAAACGAGTTAAACGCGTTAGTAACGAATCGTTCGAAAAGTCTAACGAAATAGGAATAACGATGACGTCATTCTCGTTTAACTCGTTCGACTTTACGAACATACCCAATGTTAACTTTACATTCCAAAGATAAAGTTTTTCTTTTCTTGTTTGATGCAGAAGAATTAGTTCTACTTCGTTTAGATGACATAGTAGAGTCTCTCGAGTCTCCGTAGATATAACAAACACAGAAATAAATAACGCAAAATAAATTGTAGCTATGTGTGGATTCTGCGCGACACATCCGAACATGTAAGCTGAACAATAGTGTGGGGGGGAGTGAGTAATCAAGGGTTGCGTGGCGCTCAAACAAAAGACGAATCGACGAGATTTGAAAATCGCGTAACACCGGGTTCGCGTAAGTCGGGGTATTACTGTATCAAGTATTCAAGGAATAATGTACTCTTCTATTAAGTGAATAAAACGTGTTGTAAAATTTGTAGTTCATAATTTTTAAATGCTTTTTTTAAAGGTTGATTTCGATTTTTTATGTAGGACGTTAATGTGATAAGCATAAAAGTAAATCATGCTTAGTGATAAATTAACTACAATTAGTAGTAGCTTGCCCCTGTATATCATACTTTTCCTTTAAGAATAGAGTGGTGTGATCATCTATTTGACACTTTCAAGAAAAAATTTTTAATTGAAATAAATTAACTTCCGGTTCACGTCAGATGTTCTTATATACTAAATCGGAACCACTTGGCCTCTTGGCCTTAGGGTTTCTAAACCTCGTCTTGACTTTTATCTATCTAACTCCGTTCTGGAGACTAACGGGAGACAGACAGAGAAACGAAAGTAAGAATTTATTGGTCTACAATTTTTTAAATTGCAGCGTAACTAATGAATAGCTACAGCGATAATTACATTTTAAACGTTAACAAGAAGTTAACAAAAGAAAATACAGCGTGTGTTTATCTCTTATTTTTATCCTTCCTCTTTTCACACATTAACATGAAACATTATTTTCAATGCTTACATGTTGAGGCAGATAACAGCCTGCAATAAAACATCGAATTTGCCGTTTTATTCTTGATATAAATAAAAAGGTGAAGAATCACTGTATCATCTTCTGTTTATTTCTTGTGTCTTATGAAAACTTTTTGAAATTCTCTTGTAAATTTTTAAAATGTAATTTATTGCGTGTTTTTAAGAAACCGTTTGCTTTTGGAATATTTACAGTTTTATTTATTGTGAAATTTTATTATAGTGAGGATTTACGAAAATGGACTCCTCGGGTAAACGGAAATGATAATACACAGTTAAAAATAACCTTTATCATAAATATAAACTGTTCTAAATACTGATAATATTTGCAATAAGGATTTGTCCGTATTATATATTCACCATATATATTTTATCATTTCGAAAAATACATTTCTAATAATAGTAGTTAGTAAGGATATATATTACACACAATGTTTTTCTATTAAAATATTTTTGAAAATTTTTTCTTTAAAATTAAACACAGTGATTGTTGATTTGTATATAAATACTGTTCATTCTCATTCGTGTGATTATAACGATGAAACTAATCGTACAAGAGAATAATTGTAATTAACTTTAATAAATAACGTATTTATATTTAGGTGGATTTTTCCAATAATATCAAAAGGAAGAAAGCGATTTTTAAAAGAAGAGGATTTATTAGAAATTTCAAAATATCATACTTCAGAGTATCTTGGGGATAAACTTCAAAAGTAAGTTATCAATTTTAATAAAAATAAAAAAAGTAATAAATATTGGTTAAAAATAAATCTTTGCTAACAGGCAACGAAATATTTTAAAAATCAGTTATACAAGAACGGTACATGCCCAGTTTGTTCAATTTTTTTTTTTTTTTTTTTGAAAAATGAAGTTGGCCTAATTTATAGATAATTTATTCCGCTTTTTTTTTGGAAAAACAATAAAACATAAACTACCACAGAATTCAGGGTAGGGCAACTTCTATTATATTGCATTACATTACCACGATACAGTCGACCCCCCCCTATAACACGGTAGATACGTTCCGTATTTTTATGAAATTTATGTTGTACGAGTCTTTAAATACGTGAGCTAATCACAACCTGGCACGTATGCAGTTTACGGACTACGGCTATTTGGAAGGTTTTCTTCCATAAAATTAATCGATTCTAGACTAATTTGACTCAACGTTTCCAAAACACGTATAATTTTTTGGGAATAATCCATATAAACTATGCTATAAACAAAAAATTTAGGATTACTTACCAAGTGTGCACCGTTCGACGCCATTGCTTAAGCTTGTTTTCGTCGCGGCGCGGCGCATCGAACGGCGGGCACGTGTTTCCTGATAAACTATTTTTCTGCGAGAAATTTGCTGAACTTTGGAGACATTACCCTTTTTGCCCACTTTCGAGGCGGTCTCGAGCAGGTTGCATAGTGTTACACGACAAACGGCATTTTAGACCCTTCAGGAAAAATATACATTTTTTCGATTTTCGGGATATTTTTTAAGCCTCGAAATTTTTACGAAAATTTTTTCCCGCGCGAAAAAAATTTTATCGCAATTTTAATTTATCTTTAATGACGCACGATTAACGCTTAATTGTTTTTTATGGGAATTTTTTAAATCAAATTTTATTCATCGTTTTAAAGTTCTAGCGCACTGATTTTACTTCGGTAAAGTTATTTAAAGCTACTTTCTGATGTCAAAAACGACCTCCAATAGTTTTTTAATTTTTTAAATTAATATATTTTATTATATATACGTTTCGGAGGGGTCGGAATCGCAATAAAAAACGTAATTTTTTAAAAATGTTTAAAAATATACGGCCAGCTAGTATTCACACTACTTTAAACCCTTCCCCTCCTGAGACGTCTATCAGAATGTCCCGGAAAATCTAACATCAGCTGTTCTCCAGGTCATCCACCTATAAATACAATGACTCATCAGTGTCAAATTTCGCAGAAAGGCGAGACAATGGAAAATAAAGTTTGAAGATTTCTCTTCAAAATTAACGTATTTCTTTCGTTTTTTTCAGTTTTTAGTATTTTTTATGTTTAATTACATTAAGAATAAAAACTGCTGGGTAGCAAAGGAGTTAAGACTATTACATTATAGCCAATCTTACTCGTTTTCACAGAATTCAAGAATTAGGTCCTCCTGTTTCCAGACTAATTAGAAAATTTTTAGATGGATCTAAAAATATGTTCGATTTCCCGAAAAAACGCATCTGCACCTATAAAACTTGCATGTCGCTTTCTCTTAAAACTTTCATTGTTACTTAACACTTCCATTTTTAACACTTTCATTGTTAACACTCCCTGCAGAGAAGTGTTGACAACCTTTCCCCTGCGGGGAGAACTCCGAAAAATCCCTTCTTAGTGTACATTCTCGTTACGTATTCTAACTGTGTACCAAATTTCAATTTTCAACTCTGTACTAAAAATAAAAATGAATTAATAGTATACTAAATACTAAAAATGAATATACTATACTAAAAATGAATTAATTCACTGAAGACGACAGTAAGATGGGTGTATTATGCTGTGATGTGCATTTCAGTGGAGTGCTATCACATATTTTGCTTTAAACTCTAATCGTATTAATCCTGTTCGTTATCAGCAAGTTAAAGGTGTGCACACCTAATTCCATCTGTGAAAAACGATTGGAAGGGCGTTTTACTAATTTTAGCAAGATAATGCATCCACTCATAATGAAAATTAAACAGTCAAACATCTAAATGAAAATTTGAAAACATATGAAACAGTTATTTCATTGGAGGAGAAAACGTCAACGTCAATAATGACAGAACCAGATATATTTTTAACCCTACAATTGTGACGATCTCGAAAAAACGAATATAGTAGATAAGTTTAGGAGTGGAGGAGTTTATTCAATCCGTTGGACTACATCAGGGTCATGTATAAAGACAGTGTATTAAACAACGTTTATGGATAGCTATTGGTGCTAAATTTCAAATATCAGGTAGGTCTAGTAGAATCGATATATAGGCCTAGTATTTAGATCACACGTTCTTTATTTTAATTCGGAAAACAAGTCTATCAATTTAAATTTTCTATATTATAGCAGAGAAAGTGGAGAAAAATGGAAGATATAAAGGGATAGATATATGGGAAAAAAATTAATAAAATATAGCACTGTTAGTGGCAGTGACATTTCCTATTCGGCCAGAATTTTTAATGTGTTCTGGCATAAACAGAAACTGAACTAAAAGCTGATTTCTAATTCAGTTTTCTGCCACACAATTTTACGCATGTGTGTTCCTGGCCTTAGACTTTGTATTCAGAATAATATTTAACGATGAGATTTTGGATGAGGCATGAAGGATACCCATGTTTTTATTTTATGCCTGGGATATAGTTTAGTTTCATCTCTCTATCGTTGATGTTGTTAAAGTAAGTCAAAAGAGCTTTCATTCATCCAAAATGGCCTTTCGAACACAAAGACAGCGACATCTGCATCCGAAAATGATATAATGCAATTTTTCAATGAAACAAGGCTAAACATATCCATTAACCAACACCTTATTAGTTGCTGAGGGAGTTTATTAAAACCTTTTCGATCTACTCGATAGATCATCATCAGGTTAGAACAGTGATGGGCAAACTACGGCCCGCGAGCCAGATGCGGCCCCCTGAAATGTTCTATCCGGCCCGCGCGACATTAGTCCTAATCTGACGAGTAAAAAGGAATACAGGCTGTGGTGGTTGATTCATCACTTAGCCTAACTTGAGTGTTCGTTGATTATATAAAATAACCGAAGCTTTATATCTCACCATGAAAGTTTATTTACAATCATGTACAAACTTTTGTTTTACACTTATTGAGTAAAAGCTCGATCGGTTACAAGCATGCTTCGGTACAGAACATCCACTCGTCGTGCGTAGCGTAGCCGAAAGAGAGAAAAAGAAATATGGCGGACGGCCTGCACATGTTTTTATAGCGCCACCTGGATTTTCAGATGCAGCGCTAGGTTACAATTATATTGGCCCGCCTAAAGTTTTCTTCTTTTCCTTTGGCCCGCTCTTTAAAAAGTTTGCCCATCACTGGGTTAGAACATTCAAAAATGAAATATAACGTAAAATGGAACATCACGTTCAAAATTCAAAAACCGATAACGTATCAACTAAAAATAATAAAACTATATATGATACATAAAATGTAAATGTAAATAATATAGTCTACTACTATAGCTAAACATTAATACAATCCATCAAAATCATATAAAAGTTACTAAATTTCCTTTAAAGCGATTAAGGATCGTATTTCGGTTCACGTGCTACTTATAAGCTTTTTAATGGGAAACTTCCAAACTAAGGGAAGACCCTCCGCGTCTCTGGCATTAATGCATCTTTCATCAAGTTTGCTCCTGTATATTTTCATTTTTTCAGCAGAGTTCGCTAAAGTTGGAGAGAGTACTTCTCTGACGACTTCCGCTTCCTTCCAGCCAACCACAGATTCTTGGGCTTGAGTCATCTGGGCCAATATAGTTGTGTTAGATCCTTTTCTAACATCATACTTATGTTCTCTAATATATAGTTTTCTCAAGTATAGTTTTTATTATTTTTAGTTGATATGTTATCGGTTTTTGAATTTTGAACGTGATGTTCCATTTTATGTTGTATTCCATTTTCGAATGTTCTAACCTAATGATGATCTTTTGAGTAGATCAAAAACGTTCGTTTTTTAATAAACTCCCTCAGAAACTAATAAGGTGTTGGTTACTGGATTTGTTTTTTTATTTGCTGAGTACGCTTGTGTTCAATGAAACAAGTTTAATATATCCAAGTATGAACCGGACCAATCCGGACTGTATCTTCTGGACCAGGGGTGTCCAACCCGCGGCCCAATAAACGTGTAAACAAAACCGACAAATGTTTTAATTTTTTTATTATTTATTTATTTTAACGACATAAACTCAAAAAAAGTTTTACAAATTCGTAAACCTTTATTCATATTTTATTTTTGAGTGGAAAGGAAATATTTTCAAATACTTGGAGATGTGTGAATGCGGAAAGATTACTAAATAAAGCTGGAGTTGTGACTCAAAGGATTATAGACCCAAATTTTGAAAAGGAGGGAAAGATGAGAAAGGATAAATGATGTAGTAGTCAAAAAGGTTAAATAAAGAACTTCTGTCAAGCAAATATGGACCCGTAATTTTTCAACCTTTTTCACTTCTTTATCTTTTGTCCTTTGTCTCTTTTTCCCTCACTTAGGTCTATAATACTTTGATTAACTCCAGCTTTATTTAGTATTTCTTTCAACGTTGATAGATTTGGCTACATTGCGCCAAATGTGGCTACTTTTTTGTTTAACGTAAAAAATATCATTTGGCGCTTTGGCTACTTTTTCGGCTACATATTATTTATAATTAAATTAATTGAATAAAAATGCACTTTAAAATGGTGTTTCGTCGCTTTTTATTAATTAGACACCCAAATAAAACAAATATTTGTGTTTTTCAAATCAATTTTCATTTGTCTGTTTTATAATAAATGAATTTATTTATTTCTAAGTAAAAATTGAAAGTGTCTGTAGAAGTAATTTTTTAAAATATCCTTTTTCTTGATAAAGTTTTAATACTTATTATTATAATCTAGACAAGTTAATTTTTAAATATACTTGTATATTGGGCCACAAGTATATATTACACTATATATACTTGTGGACCATAACTTCTTGACTTCTTCCAATGAGGCCCAGAGAAACAAAAAGGTTGGACATCCCTGATCTAGACCAACTCGAAATATACAAAGTTAATTTTTGGAATACTGCAATAAATCACAGGAATTTCGAAACATTCTCCAAAGACTGAAAGTCTATTTTTTGAAGTACTGTACACCTATAAGTTAATATCTTATCCTTAATAAAATATGCGGTTTCGTCATTATTGACGTTGTCGGTTTTCCTAAAGTAAATCGATAGTATTAAAAGAATTGTATGCAATTTATATATCTACAAAAATTGAACAATAGTCATTGAAATGGTGTTTTTATTTGCGAAGTTTTATTGCAATTTATTTTCAGAGAGTGGAACAAAGAACTACAGAAGAAAAATTCAAACATACTGAAAGCTGTATTACGATTTCTTGGATTGAAATTTTCAATTATGATTTTATATGTATTTATTCAGGTAATATGACAACTGATTTTAAATATATTCTGATAATTTGAAACCGTGTTGTTCTACGTTTTTGTTTCGTAAACACAATATAGTGCAGTTAGACGAACACTAGGTATTATTTCATCCGTTTATTTCTTCTTCTTAGTTGATACAATTTTTTACACGTTTTAGGCATTACAACGCCCTTCTTCAGTCATCTAATTTTGAAATGTACGTAATTACTACATAACTTCAAACCGTTTAAATAATACACATAATTTACAAACATACCATCTCTTCCGTACTTTACGTTAGCCGAATTTAATTACTCTTCTGTTGTTTGCCTTTCTGAGAAAATTTAAAATTGATGTTTTTACAGATGTGTTAACATAGCATCTTGAAATTGGGGTATTCACGAGTACTGGTCCTTTGTATTTAAGGTAACGTGTAAAAACGCACATCAACTAAGAAGAGCAAATAAACGGATGAAATAATACCCAGTGTTCGTCTAATTGCACTATATCCTGCTTACAAAACAAAAATGATTTTAAGTATGTTAAGCATTTATTAAAATAGTCGAAATATCTGATATTTATGAATATTTTGTATATTTATGTAGGACATAGTTGTAGTTGCTGGCCAATCACACTTACTGGGATTAATAATACACTATTTTGACAACAGATTGGGATGGAATGAATACAATATATATGTAGCTCTTGTAGGATTTTTTGCTGTAACTGCGGTTTATATGTTTGTATATAATGCTAATATATTTACGTCAGAAATATATGGAATGAAAATAAAGGTAGCTTTTTGCACTATTATATATAGAAAGGTGAGTAATAATTGTCATGTGTTATGAATATACTTTTGCATTTATATTCTTTATTCGGTCTTGATTACTAATTTATGTTTCGGCTATTAATTGTGCATGTTATTGATTGGATTTGGCCAGGGGTCGGCAACCTGCTGCTCGCGAGCCACATGCGGCTCTTTGGATGTGAAGCTGCGGCTCTAGTTCCATACGCAAATATTATTTATTTTATAAAAAAAAAGTTTAAAAATCGTTCTGAATCGATTAACGAGGATTAAGCACTGATTCTATCTCTCAGCCACTTATTGGATCATTTTGTAGTCACCGTTTTTTGCTCTCTGTATGTGTTTCATGTTAAATCAACGGACCCGTGTAGGCGCTCATGGATCCCACTTCATCCTTCACCACCTCTCCTTCCCCCACCTCTCCACCTTCACTCACCACTCCTTCTTCTCTCTTTCCTCCCCTTTCACAGGCTATGCTCACTGCTCGGCCATGTCTTTCTCTCTTTAGTCTTTAGTATTTAGCCACTTGTACTCGCTTTTCACCGCACCCCTCCCCCGTGACACGCGTCGTCACTGTCGTCAGTTTGTGTGAAGCTCTCGAATGACGCCATCGTCGGATGTTTCTATTATCTAATTTGTTGTGAAAAACACTACTTATATATGAATAAATAGATATTTTTTCTTATGAATAAATAGATTAGTTTTTTTTATCAAAAAACTTTATTTATGCGAGTACTATTTATTGTTGGCAAGAAAAAATTTTGTGGCTTTTTAAAAACTTTGAAATTTTGTAAATTGTAATTTTGGCTCTTCCGACTCAAAAGGTTGCCGACCCCTGGATTTGGCCATGCACTACTGTCATCACGAAACACTGCTTCTATAGTGAATGGTTGTCTCTTTAATCCGAAGATATTTCTCTCGGTATCTTACAGCAAGTCAGGTCCAGAAACTCTTTTATTGTACAGTAGAGCGTCGGTTATCCGAAAGCATTCCAGTAGGCAAATTTAAATTTTCGCTCGTGCTTTGGTGTTGCAATCTTTGGCTATATCTTGGGCTACTCCAATATTTTTTTGTTGGTGTGTGTGTTTTAGCTGGCAGCACTGGCATTTTTGTGTGGTGTTTTTCTGAGGATTGTGTGTCATGCTGAATCGAACGTTTTTGATACTAGATCAACTTCTAAAGTATATTTTTTGGTTTTTATATTTTTCAATAAATTAATTTTGTTTGTACAAAATAAAAAAATGATTTTTAGCGATACAATAGCCACGATTATTATTTTTAAAAAATTTATGTTAGGCTTAACATTGACGAAAATTCAACGCGAAGCGACACGCAAAGGCATGTGATAGCTTAATATATTTTTTCGTACGTAGTCGGTTATCCGAAAAATCAGTTATCCGAACAACCCCAGTTTCCGATTAATTCAGATAAACGACGCTCTACTGTATTCATATTCTACTGATTTTAATTCATATGCATTTCGAACTGGTTTCATTTTCCAGTTCCTCTTCAGTGCTCCGTAATTACAATTACAGAATTATAAGTACGGATATTGAGTTTACGAGAATACGGATTAAAAATTAAAATGCGTAGAGATGTCAAATAACACAACGGAAACATTATTACTAGTACCTTTAAGAACTTTATACACTTCTTTTTTCCGAGTTACATTTATACGGTACTTGTATTTATCATATGAAATTATCCTTCTTGGTGTAAACCGTAATATGATTAAAGAATATAGGTTTTTTTCTTTATATTTGAAAATATTCTATTATATCGATAGTTCTGTGTGTAAAACGTAATATAATGCAAATGTTGAGGTTTTTTCTTCAATATCATTTGAAAAATATTCTATTAAACACTGGTTATGTGTCGTATAAATCCACAAGTGGTAATTCATATACAATAACCTTTACAACACTTGCTTATGAATTGAAATGCGTATGAATTCAAAATACAATACAAGAGTTTCTGGGCCTGACTTGCTGTAAGATAGTCTATCGACAGACATATTTTCTGATTAAAGAGACAACCATTCACTGAACAAATATACATCTACAATTAGTAAATTCAACTACTTCTATAGTTGATGAAGACTTACAAACAATTATAGTAGTAAAAACGAGACAATGAGCTTTTCACGCGTCATTGCTGAAATACATTTTTATTATTCCTCTACAATAGCCAACAGTAGTGAAAAAACTTTTCAATATCACTTTAATAGTTATAATTTTATAACAACATTTTAGTTAAAATAAAAAATTTATTTTAAATATAATAAACACACCAACAATCCTGATAAGCTTTGGTTCTGGATAATTCCAAATATATATACAATAAAATCTCGGTAATTCGACCATTCACCTGTACACATTTGTTTATTCCGAGGTATTGCCGCTACTGCTGCCAAATCGTTCAAGCTTCCCATTAGTTCAAACCGCAGTTCCTATTAAATTTGAACACCTTTCCACTAAACATGACATGATATCCAGTTGATCTTGAACGCTCAAACATGAACAGAAAAATTGTTAGGTTAGTCATCTCAGGCTGCTCAAAAATGGTTTAATCTCTTATAATAAGATACTGTTTCTACATAAAAATCGATTCATTGGAAATTTTCTATTACAATTATTCTATTTTTACCTAAATTTTTACTATGGCTTCAACTTCCAACGAAATTTAGTCAGAATACATGGTCAACGTAGCAGTGGTCGGCAGCGAGAAAAATGCGCTGTAGTTTTGAGCAGACGAACTTGTATTTGCTGCATCATAATCATTTATTTCTACGATATCAAATTAGGGTGTTATCTCGGGAATCCTATCATCCGGAAAGCTCTCTAATCTGACAATATTTTTGTTCAACTACGTCGAATTACAGAAATTGTACTGTATGTACTGTACTGTACTTCGATAAAAAATGAGGAAACACATTCAATGTTTAAACATATTTTTGTTGTAGGCTATGAGTATTTTTACGAGGCTGTTCCTATTTCATTTATAAATTGTTTCAAATGCAGCACTTTTACTAGTCAAAACTGTGATTGAATACAACTTTGGTATAATTGTATTCATCATTCTATATCGATGATAAACTTGCTTCCAACTGCAAGTGTCCAGTAGCACTAAATGTTAACTAAATGACAAAAACATTAATATTTGTAATTTATAATATACTAATTTATATACGAATTTATACAATATAAATTTTATATTATATAAATCAGATTTCTTATATTTTGCTAACATTTATATAAATTAACATTAGTAGTCTATAAATTAAGTATAGGCTATATTCAATTTGAAAATTTGAATATATATTAAATTGAATAATTTGAATAATTTAAAAATTGAATTTATTTCTTTGTTCATAAACCTTAAATATTAAAATAAAAAGACCAGTTTAAATTAATTTTTTATTAAAACTTATAATAAAATTGTTTAATAGTTATATTATTTTATATAAAACTTTTCTATGCAGGCAATTAGGTTGAGTTCTCCGTCTCTAGAAAAATCGAATGTGGGACAAATGGTAAATCTTCTAGCAAACGATGTCAGCAAGTTTCTAAGTGTAAGTTGAAAACATATTTCTAAAGTATGTGTCCCCAAACTTTTTATCCCTTCGACCCATTCATAGAATATTTGCCTTCTTATCGACCCTCAGATTAAGTATTTAACAAAAACATTAAATCATTTTTTCATTTCTCATGTTAAGCAATAAGAAGAGAAGACCTGCATAACAACCCAACGAAAGTATTTATAGTTCTCATATCTTATAAAATCCACCCAATAACATTAACAGAAAAAATATATTTTCTACTGATTTATAATATTAAAAAATAATAGCAAAATTATGGATAGATGGAAATTTGCCTATAGTTTTTAAATCGTACGTGTCATAATACGTAAAATACACAATTATCTTTGAAAACATAACATAAATTATATTGGACGAAAAAACCTCTTACTGTCATTTTGCGAATACTACTGAATACCTTAAAAATATGTTAACATACCTTTTTATTAAAATAGTTGATATTAGTGGGAGGACATGTCTGAAGAGAAGCAGCAAGATTATTGATATTCGGTAAGTTTTAGTCGCAAATCACCCCGGTTTTCCAAGTTCAATCTGTTCCTTTGTTCTGTCAGAATTGCATTCGTGTGGCTAAAACCAGCTTCACCCATGTACAACGTTGAGAATACAAGTAAGAAAGGTTCGGTTTCTGCTCTGAGCTTGGGATATTTAGTGGCAATGTTGTTATTGCTCCAAAATTCACCGAGGTTTTTGTTTTTAAATAACTCTTTAGCTTCGAGATCTACACATATTTCAGTCAGTTCACCTTCATTATCTATTTTTACATCAAATGGATTAGCAAACCATTCGGGTACATGCATATTGTCCATGTCTTCGAAACGTGCTTTAAAGTTTTTTCTTAATTTATCAAGATGTTTAATATATATCTTGAAATAACGGTTGGAAATCTTTTCATTTTCTTTTAGTACCTGCAAGTTTGAAAAATATTTAAAATTGGATTGTGCCAGTGAAGATTTTAATAGCTCCATTTTTACTTGAATAGCCGTTTTTTTCCTTGCAAACGCTTCCGTACTATATTAAATTTCGAATAAAGGTCTGCCAAATAGAACAGATGGTTCTTGCACTGTTTTAACTGGTCACATAGTGATGGATCCACATTCCAAAGAAACTCTTCAGCTGAGTCGTACAAGTTAACAAGCCTCTGCAAATTATCACGTCTTGACAATCACCTTACCTCAGTGTGCAAAGTAATTGGTTGAAAGTTTCATTATTTTCTTCACATAACTTCGCAAACAGTCTGGAATTGAGAGGATGAGCTTTAATTTTATTTATTGACCTGATGCACACTTTTAGAGTATCATGAAGATCGCCACTCAGTTTTTTGGCTACACGATGCTGCCTGTGTAGGACATAGTGAACAGTATGTACTGTACTTTAGGAACCTTTTCCTTCAGAAAGACGAAAAATCCTCTGTAACTGCCTACCATAGCAGGTGCACCGTCGGTAAGCTACTGTAGTAGTATTCCCGAAAAGACTGCTGTGCTTGTTCAAATAATTTTGCAAACATACAAAATTGTCTCACCTTTGGAATCAGTTTCAAGATACTTAATAGAAATTCAAATAGAAATTCATCAACAGTGTCATTCAGGGATGGGCTATGAAACCTAACAAAAGCAATGAGAAGATTTGAACTTCCGAAAGTTCATTCGTCAAGTTGAATATCAAACTTACAATGCTGGAGCTCAGAGGTCAAAGTCCTTTCCACATCATCGGCCATTTCCTCAATACGTCGCTGCATAGTACAGTATTTGCGCTTTACGGTATGCATTTTAAAACTAGTTGAGAGTCTTTCTTCATAACATTTTCAATTGCATCTTTTATAGCTGGTGTTATTATCTCTTCACCAATAGTATACGGTTTGCTTTTCTTTGCTATATTAAGAGAGATGCTGTAGGATGTTTTCAGTCCTCCTCATCTATCAACACTAGCAGATGACTTCAAATATGTATTCAGATTTGGCAACTCTCAATTTCTCTTTTAGTATTTTGAAATACTCAAATTCTTTGTTTTTCTTATCAGAATGGATCCTTTCCAAGTGGTCTTTCATTTTCGCTGACTTCATAGCATCACTGCTGAGAGTTTTTTCACATAATAAGCACATAGAAATACAGTAGTTTCATTAGCAAACGATGGCACAAAACATATTTTAAATACTCCTGTGAATAATGTCTGCATTTCTTCTTAGCATTGGTAGCTGACATTGTGGTTATTAAAATCAGATTTTTAATATGAAAAATACAATACGTTTGCTGCACAACAAAACAGCAGCAGTAAGAGAGACAACTTACTCCAACACCAGCTACAAAGAACTACCTATTTATTCTCAGAGTGCAGTATTGTTATCTTTTGCTAACAATAGATATTTAGAATTAAAAAAAAATTATAATTATTCTAATCTATTAAAAGATATTAATAAATGTACGTGATTTTTTTCATATGAACATAATGATAACTTGATTTTTGGTAAATTTTTAAAATAATATCGCCTGACTGACCTATATTGCCGTCGGACAGTTTACAAAATAAACGTAAACAAGATGGCGATGGTAAAGAGTTAACATGTAAAAATTAAGTTTTAGTTTCGGCCTGTTCTGAAACCTCACACAGTTGGTGCAACAGGTGGCTATGTCAAGGCGCCGGTAGTCATCGAACCGATGCTGTTTGGCACAGCGACTGCTCCTAAAAGGTCCCCCGGGCGATCCTTTGCGTAGTGATTATATCCACGGCAGTTGTACCAATGGACAACCAGAATATAATCGTATGCCTTAATTGGCCGTTAGCCCAAGCCAATGAAAGATGTTTTTGAGCCACCATTATTTTTCTGATACATGGCGAGTCGGCAATAATCATGTGTCTGCAATTTTCCTTCTTTCTTCCTTTTTCTAGAGTTGTACTAATTTTGGTACAGGATAGAAATTCTTATTTCCCTATTACTTGAAGGATTCATTTTGATCGTAGGCACAAGAAAGTATTTCACTGTCTTTGACTAATTTGGGGACTTTTGACAGAATTATCCTCGGCTGTCGCCCATTGAAGATGGTTCATTTGATTTTATTTTTAATGCTATCGATGTTGTTGATAGCCATTGTCAATTTTTCGTTTTCCTCATGAGTGCCCACTCTCACACAGAGGGCGTCATTTTTAATTTCTCTGAGACTTAACACTTACTTGAAGCTGCTGTGGTTTGATAATCTTCAGAATGTTTTTTTTTTTTTTTTTTATCTTTCTGTAGTCGGATTTGGATTTGCTTTCATTGTCCCCCTTAAAGTAAATGAGGACAGCGTTGCTTTCGATCGTTTCCTCTTTGTCAAGCTTCTTATCAAAGATCTGCTTGATAACTTTAGTGGTGATGTTCGGTCGTATGTTGTTATTTTTATTGACCACGGCAGCGTAGCAAATTTTATCAGCTTCTCTATCACTAGGCCAAGAATCGGACTATAGTTTCGTGCGGAGTTCCTGTAGGATCCCGAAGGTATGGCCAACACACATGTGTAACTGAAACCCCCTGTCTCTGATCTTTCTCCTATCCTCGCTTTTCGGGTTTGAACAGCAGGACTCCGGTAGGAGGCCCATAATCCTGCGTAAACGTCCATTTACAAACAACAGTGACGTGCCAGCACAGTGCAATGACTTTTTGCCTGTGGGAAATCGTTAACCTAGTTTTAAACTACCCTGTCCAGACTCGTCCGTCACAGTGCTGTGCAGTGTCAGTGGCGTGACCGTACCGTGAAAGTACATTTGACTGCAACGATATTTTCACTGAAGGTAAATTTTGTTTTCCAATGGATGACGAACATTTAATTGAAGTGGTGCATCAGCACCCTGTTCTATTTGATTTATCTCATTCGAAATACATGGACATTGGGTACAAAATGAATATTTTCTCTGTTTTGTTTAATAAAATATGAAATGCATGTTTGGACATTCGAAAATGTTCAAAAAATATAGATTCGTCATCTCAATTTTTTATAAAGAGTATGAAACTCCCATTCTGTTGATTTTTTTGTCCATGCTTGATGTACCCACTTGTGATGCTTTCTTGATCGCATTTATTTTTCTTTTTTACCCAAACATATACGGAACATTCCAATTTTCAACGCGAGTGTTGAGTGTTGAAGTCAACAATTTGATGTCATCAACGACGTTCCAACTCGAGTTCGAAGTGCTTAGTTCCCATAATTCCATTTTCAGCAAGAAGGATTCCATTCAAATGTCTTACCAATTACCCACAATTCATTGGAAAGTAGCAGTCAACATAACTGTTGGGTGCTGAGTGTGTTGAGACAGTGTTGACAGCGCCACTTAACTTGGAGAAAAGGAACGAGTTTTAACGAACGTTTATGCCGATTATTAACAGTCGAGTCCACTCTCAGTCGATTACACTTACGAATTTCTTGGAATTCTGATTTTCAAATAATCGTCTGTTTTCACGTGAGAATGGATTAAAACTTATATCGGGCTTCCGTATGATTTTGGAACTCAATTCAAAAGCTTTGTTTTTCCTATTGCTATTCATCATTACTTCTGTCAATACACAAGGAAGATTCAAAAGACTCAAATAAAATACTTTTGTTTTTAAACACCAGAGGGTGAGCATCCGGTAAAAGATGCGAATACACGGTTCACAAAAAAGTACAGGCATACCTCGACTTACGTCATTTCGAGTTACGTCGTTCCCGATTATACGTCGCTTGTTAAAAAAGTATATCGAAAAATAAAAATCAAGTTTAAGTCATTTTATTCGACTTTACGTCTGTCCGCCACAAATATTGAAGTCGTAATATCACTAGAAAAACGTTTAAAGCACATACAATCATATTAAAATATATACAAGTATGTACTGTATTTACAGTACATGCATTCGTAAATTTAGATTACTTTTTTGGTACTATATTAAAAACTAAAATTTATTTGTTTGTAAGCTTAAAATAGATTTTTATTAACCATATATTATTAAAAATGCATTAATAAATAAAATACAGAACCGGGAATGGTAATTTACGGTTTAGCCTAATGACAAGTAGATTCGGAGACAAGTAAATTCGACTTACGTCGTTTTTCGACTTACGTCGTTCTCCTGGAACCAATTACCGACGTAAGGCGAGGTATAGGCTACCTGTATTGCAAAAACGCAAAGTATCCTTCGCTCGCGCTTATAAAATAACCTAGGTTTTTGATACAATGAAAAATGAATAAAAACCTCGTCTTATATGCAAGTAAATACGGTAGATCATGCAACTTAATATGTTTATCATATATTTTATAATTTCCAAAATAAATCTATTAAATTACACAGTACTGTAGTTATAATAGTTTATAGTAGTTATAATAGCAAATTGATCGATATTTTATACATATCTAACATTTTTATTTTTATTACAGACTCTTTACGGTATTCCATATTTAGTTACAACTCCTTTCTTCATCATTACAACCATAGCGATATTGTGGCAATATTACGGATGGACTATTCTAGTGGGATATTCGGTGATATTTCTCTTCATTCCTATACAATTAGCTTTGGGTAAACTATATTCGAAACTGAGGTAATTATTTAATTAAATTATGTAACTGTATAATTCTGTATCTATAAATAAAACAAAAAAATAATGCAGTATTTACTAACAGTTCATTTTAATGTCCGCGTACATGTGACCCATGCCATTTTCCTGCGAATTTTATTTAAAAATTTAGTCGCAGGGAGACTTTAAAATTGCACCGTTTATTTTTTGTTTTTGAGTTAAATTACACAAAAATAAATATAATAAGCGCATTTCTTCTGACTCATGAAAAAACTATGCAATAAAATTCTAAGACCACCTGCTATTCATAGTCTTTTGTGTTACAAACACGTGTTATATCGTTCTAATTATAATATTTGAATTTCATTTAATGAAAAGTCTTTACTAACAGTTATATGACTTTATGACAATTATTTGTAAAAAATTACAGGCAAAAAGTAAAACCAAAGCGGGAAAAAATTTTAAGAGCACTCCTTTATGGTTGCATTTTTTTTCATTGAAATTATAATGCGGCGGTTGCATTACGTAAATTTTTAGACTTGAGTGACTACGAAAAAAGTTAACTTGATGCTCTGGTGATTGCTAGCTCTAGCTGATCCACTCATGCTACAGCTAATGAAATTCAGACGTCAAAGACTATCATGGTCATAACTTATAATTATTATTCAATGAAATATATTTATACAATTTCTGTAATTACTCAGGATATATTTCTTCTTAATTGAAGTTCAGACTATTTACAAAAATATCAAATTTTCCAGTCTATCTTTATCCATTTTATACAACCCCAGAAGTAACAGTTAACACGGGTTTATTTGAAGAATATACTTCTTAAAACAAAGGTAAACAATAAGTAAAAAAAAGTTCACAATGTTAAAAACGATCAAGTGTCAGCCTTCTGTTATAGGTTCTGACACTTTACATTAAAAACACGAAGAATTCTTCTCACCACATTGTCCTTATCCATTTTTAACTGCTTCAGGTGTTAAAAATGTTAAATGCCTTCTGGGGTGTTAACTGTTACTTCTGGGATTGTATAAAATGGATAAACATAGACTCGAAAATTTGATATTTTTGTAAATAGTCTGAACTTCAATTAAGAAGAAATATATTTAACGGAAAAACTAATCCAATGACTTCTAAAAAGCTTGGTTTCTCTCACAAAACGAAAAATCGTTAGTTATCCGATCCACGCGAATCGAAAAACTGAGTTTTTGTCAGATTAAAGCTGAGTTAGGGCTCAAGTGATATTCGAGAACTGTCCTTCGATGTTTTTTAAGAAGCAGACCAACCATAATATGTCAAAAGAAAGAGCAGACTACCTTTGACATCAAGGTGGATGGAGCAACATTTAGAGTTTAGCGGATGGAAAATCGCATAGGTCGAAAAATGGTCTTCAGCGATGAAAAGAAATTCAACTTGGATGGACCGAGTTATCAACGATACTGGAGAGACGCACTAAGGAAGAAATGGAGACGTACTTGAAACGGCAAGTTTGTGCTGGATCCATGATTATTTCAGCTGCTATTTCATGGTGCAGAAAATCTGGCATCGTGATTGTTGATAGTCACATGAAGGCTACGGAGTACCAGCAAATGCTTTAATAGTATCTCCTCCCAGTTGCAGACCTTGGGGACTAAAAAATAGATATTTCAACAAGATACCACATCTGTTCACTTGGCTAGGAGCTTCCTAATATGGTTTATAAATCACAATTTTCACATATTCCGTAGCTACTAAGAAGTCCTTATGATAATCGGATTGAAATCCTTTGATCACAGCTTTCCAGGATGGTATGTGATATTTCTTGGCAATTTCAAAAGACCAGTTCACTCGCGATCGCCATTAATTTGCTTGGTTCAAGTGCTCATTTCCTCAGTCCGAAATATTTGAATGTATTTTAAATAAAGGAATAAAACTATGTTTTAAAATACAATTTATAAACGAAAATTATTAGAAAAATTGACTAAAAGTTATCAAAAAATCATTTACTTGTCATTTCGTATTCATAAATCATTTTATCGAACATTAGTAACCACGCATTAATTTAATTGTATTAATCTTGCATTATAACAAGTAAAGCAGAATCATTCAAATCACCACTGTTGAAAATAGAAACTCAATCTATTCTGCATCACTAGACATATTTTGCAACACGTGATTTTAAAAACTCTACTAAATATTTAAAAATAAAATATAATTAGTAACTAAATAGTGATTAAATAATTATATATTTTTTCTATTTGTATTTAAAACATAATTTATATGATAGATTACAAGCAGCTATGTTGGGAGATGAAAGATTGAACCTGTTGAACGAAATAATTGCTGATATGAGATTGATTAAAATGTACACCTGGGAATTGCCATATTCTGCATTACTTAAAAAAATCAGAGTGTAAGTGGATTCAAATATAGTAAAACCTGTCTAAAGGCGAACAAGAATAAAAAAATCTAGCAAAAGAAAAAACTTTCAAAATGAAATGTTTTTCTATAAGAAAAGGAATTGTAAAAAAATGGAAACCTGTCTAATCAATAGGAAGAGAATTCGATGTGGTTCTAATTTACACAGATTTTAATGCAGTTCTATGAAGCTAATTTGAATTTTTTAGCAAGTATTTTCAAATTTGTCCAGTATATTTTAATTAATTGTTTATATTTGCAGGAAGGAAATGAATAAAGTTCGAATGTTTTTATATGCAAAGGGAATGTCGTCAATGTTGGCTTATCCTATATCAAAATTATTTACTTCCCTTGCATATCTTGCATTCTTTTTTAATGGAGGACAATTAAACCCCGAAATTGCATTTATCACTATGACTGTTTCTTTGTACATCTTTATCAGCACTGTTAGCATGTTCTCACTAGCAATAAATAATTTTGCAGAAATTTTGGTTTCACTGAAGCGACTTCAGGTAATGTGATCTTTTCATATATTCTTATAGTATATATATATATATATATTACTTAACATTAATATTGTAATATTATTCTACAGTGTTAATACTTAATCTAAAAAATTATTATTGTAAATTAGAATTAGAAGTACAGGAACCTGCTTAATAATGACTTGGCGTGACATTTGATGTGTTCCTGTAAGAAGCCAACTTCCAGGGCAATCAGTTAATTGCTCGTCTGTGATGGTCTAAAGTCTATTCGTATTCGATTGTTCGATAAGGCAGTAAAATCTATTGATTTCTCTAAATGTATTTTTAATATCACAAATACATTCTGAATCGCTAACCATGATATAAGGGCTAGAATTAAAAATAAAATTATAAAAATACACTTGGTGAAATAAAGTGTGGTGGATATACATACCTGGTTCAAAATATTTTCAATTGTATGAATATACTTTTAAAGAAAATTATAGTTATATATAGCTTTGTAAAGAAACGAACATAAAAATAACAAAATATTCTTAACTTTTTAAATCTTAAAATAATCCAATTAGTCAAACAGCTCTCTACAAGTGGCTCATGGATGGAATCAGAGACTGTCCTGGTAGGTGTGCAGTGTGTGCATGCACGCGGGCTGCCAAATCCCGAGGGGCCTGATACTGGTCAATGTCAAATGCCTCTTTGTCTCTTCACTAGTATACCTCAAAGGACGCAACAGGGTTGATCTAAATTTTAAACGTTTCTCACAGTAGCTATAAAAATCTACATATGTTAAACTGAGTAGACTGTCCGTCATTTCTTTTCTAATTAATTCGTTTTAAAATTTACAACTTTTCGATCATTCTCATTGAACTGGAAAAAATTCTGTCTTTATTCTATCTAATATTTCGAAGAATTCAGTCCCCACTGTACTCGGCTAAAGATTGGTTTAGTTAACCTTTTGTTTAAGTAAAATTACGGCTCTTTCAGTAAGGTTATATTTCTGTTCTTAATTCCCTAATCTCTTAATTATTTAATTACTTCTTAAGTTGAAATAAGTTGAAACCGGTTACTTTGTACTTGAATATTTGTAGTCTTGAAAAAATAGTGGAAAGACAAATTTTTTATAACAACGGAATAAATGTTATCATTAAAATTTTTCTGATAAATCGTAAAATTAATAAAAATAAATTGTAGAGCTTTTTCTGTATCTCGTGCATCTCTCTCATTCATTACATTTAGTTGTAAATGATGCTGCCAAAGTAACAGTTAATTTTTTAACATTGTACAAGAATTATACACGTTTTTTCCCATCCCCTTATAGACAGGCATACTAAATCGTAATATCACTAGTTTAACATTGAAATCTGTAAGTAATACAAGATGGGGGAGCAGAATAAAAGCAGAATAAATATATCAAATATTTTAAAGGATTTTTTTTAAAACTCCTGTCAACTATACAGAACTATCATAAAAACATATCAGTAAATTCCTATCGGTTGGGTTAAGTTATAAATCTACTCGCAATTTATATAATGGGGCGAGGGAGGCCAAATATCTAGTACGCGGGGGTTAACAGACTAGATCCGGTCGTGGATTGAATCATTGGAAGCGTTATACGATATTTTGGTGCCCGCCAGTTGAATAAGAAATGTTTCTTTCACAAGAAATGTATAAAATTACAGTACTGTATTAGACTTACGGTACCTAATTTACATACTGTACAGACGATAGTTAGCGTAAAATCTCCGTAGCGTGGGGCTACGCNCGTTGAATAAGGAATGTTTCTTTCACAAGAAATGTATAAAATTACAGTACTGTATTAGACTTACGGTACCTAATTTACATACTGTACAGACGATAGTTAGCGTAAAATCTCCGTAGCGTGGGGCTACGCGGCGGAAAATATATATATAATTATAATAAAGTTACAAAAAAAATTTATGATTATCATCTATTTTTTCATCCAGGTATTACAAAAATCCAAAGAGACAGCTCGTGTCCAATTCCAATTAATTATGAATGAAATTTTTACATTTTATTACAAGAGTTGTTTTGTCACACAATTTTTCCATTCGCAATGTATACTGACAAAAACTATCAAAATTACTTTTAACATCAACGTATATGAAAATTTTACAGTTTTTCTTTATTTTCTTGCAGTATCGTAGTTATTGTAACTGTGGCCTTTAATAATATTATTAAGATTTTTTTAAGTATTCATAATAAATAATGCTTGTACTTTGCGCATTCGACATATAAATAGTCGAATGTTTGGTTGTCCACTCATTATTTTTTCAATTTCTCCAATTTCTATCTAGAAAACAAATTTGTTTAAACAATCAGCCAAATACTTTTTTTTATATTTCGAGCGATGTGTATTTTTAAATTTAAGCATTTGATTTTTGTAACTGTCCGACTAAATCCCCCCCAAAAAAATTATAATCTAACTAGCAGATAAGCCCGGCATTGCTTTTGCAAAAAGTAACGATAGCAAAGTTTAAGATTATTACATTACAACCAATCTTACCCGTTTTCACAGAATGCAAGGATTAGGTTCTCCTGTTTCCAGACTAATTAGAAAATTTTTAGATGGGTCTAATATTATGTTCGATTTCCCGCAAAAACGCAAAAAAACGCATCTGCGCCTATAAATCTTGCATGTTGCTTTCTCTTAACACTTCTATTCTTAAATATACTATGCCAGAAACCTTCGCGGGAGTGTATTAAACAACTTCCCAACGTTTCATGGCAATCGGATAAATGGTGTAGTAATGCATGAAGGACACACAGTCATACATTCATTTTTATATACCAGTCGACCCCCCTATAAGATCATAGATACTAGAGTTTCTCAAACGGGATTCCAGGATTCCGGTTGTTTTTTTAACCCGGGAAATATCCCGGGAAATTTTTCTTATCCCGAGAAATTTCGCAAATTTCTTAAAAATTCATTTTTTTTTCTTATTTTGTGTTAAGGTTGAAGAATTTTGCAAATAGAAAGCATAATTAACTCATTCACTGTCAGAATACATTTGTATTTATTAATTTTAAACCTACCTATTAGTTTTTTTTTAAAATTTTTGCTCGTTATAGCATGTCACAAATGGTCAATAATCAATAANTACGGAGCGTATATATATAATTATAATAAAGTTACAATAAATTAAGTTAATATGTAATTATATATACAGTACCTAATTTTTATATAATTAATATATAATTATATGTACAGTACCTAATTTATATATAATTTATATATAATTACATGTACTGACGAAAATAAACTCAATTTACCCGCCTAAATGTCTGTAGCGTGGCGCTACTGAAGGCGGAAAAGTAGTTCGGCTGCCCGATGACGTTTTACGTAATTATAGGAGTTTTACCGTTTTTTACAGATACCGTCGCAATTTTTTCGCAGTTTTATAGGAATCGTAATTATAGGAACCGTAATTATAGGGGGTCTACTGTACTGTATATGGATTATAGCAATCACTCCTGACAAAAACCACTTTTAAAAGAACATAGTTTTGAGTATTAAAAAAAAAATACAACAAAAATAAAATTGGATTTAATTATAATCTAAAACGTTGCATTTATAAACAAGGTCATAAAACAATTATCGATTTATTCACGTTAAATTAACCACCACTGCTATCTAGCTGTCCAAAGAGCAAAATATTTGATATGTTCCTAACTGGTTTGTTTATTGTTCTTTGAGCTCGTATGGATTATATCCGAGATCCCAATATTCGAATATTTTGTAGAAATTGTACTATCTAAAAAAACCACTTTATCTTAAAAAAAAAGTAATAAAAAATTTGAGCTTTCAACATCATGTGAGGCCAGCCGATTAGGGGTGAGGTGTTTTCGACAGCCGAGCGGTTAATTCTGTCGTGTGGGCGCGGAATGACTCACCGAGACAGGTTTACCATATAAAACCGTTTAATAATATACATAAATTGTTCTTACAACAATTCAAGAAGTCAGGCGAACGCCTATCCACCGATGGGTTACTAAAACAGTTCCCAAACAACACGGAAAAGTTCGACAGTCCTTGGGTGTTTCGCACATCGGACGCAGAGAACGATGTCCCCGGAGCACGCACCAGCACTTGTTGCGATGTCCTCGGTTAACGAGTTGTACCTCGGCGATTCTGGACAGAACGGGTTGTCGAAACCAGCTCCTAGGGCGTCGAAAGAGCCTTCGTTGTGTCTCTGTCGTGAGCACCAAATCCCAGCAGNCCCAACGTTTCATGGCAATCGGATAAATGGTGTAGTAATGCATGAAGGACACAGACATACATTCATTTTTATATACTGTATATAGATTATAGCAATCACTCCTGACAAAAACCACTTTTAAAAAAACATAGTTTTGAGTATAAAAAAATACAACAAAAATAAAATTGGACCCAATTATAACCGAAAACGTAGCTTTTATAAACAAGGTCATAAAACAATTAGCGATTTATTGACGTTAACCACCACGGCTAACTGGCTATCCAAATAGCAAAATATTTAATCTTTTAATATTTCGAACTGGTTTGTTTATTATTCTTTGAGCGCATATGGATTATATCCGAGATCCCAATATTCGAATATCTTGTAGAAATTGTACTACCTAAAAATACTTTATCTTTAAAAAAAGTAATAAAAAATATGAGCTTTCAACATCATACCGATTTAGCTTTATTTATTGAAGAAGAATAATGTTAATGGCACCACTTAAATTACAATTTTCTGGAAGGGAACCATCTGAATTAGAATTGTAGACTTCTGGTAAAGATCAATAATATTTTCCGATCATAAACTATTCGATTTTGCATTCCAATTTCCGCAAATTTATTTTCAATTAGTTTGTATTAATTTTTATTAAACCTAATAAAAACACATTTCTCATATATGTGATAAAGGAATTTTACAAAAAAGTGAAGGCAACTTATAATATTTATAGCAATTTTGTCTTCAAATAGGGAAAATATCTGGCATCATGTTATTTCAGTTAACATGAGTTAAAACAAATTATTAATGTTTTTTGTCGAGTCCTAAACGATAATTTTATTCGAGCCTTATATAAAACTGATAACGATCAAGTTCATATAGGACTCTACTTAGGAAAAACCTCTTTAAAAAACTTAAATATTATAATATTTAGTCTTGAACGTTTTAAAAATACTTTAAGTATTTCAAAACTTCATTATTCTCAGTTTTCTGCTGTAGCCACTGAAAAGCCATTTGTGTCATAGCCATCGTGGGTTTCATCAGACCCAGGATGCGGTTAGCAGATGATTACATAAAGGGATAGACAATTCCTGGACAGATCGCCTTTAGTGCATTTTTCATTCTGTTATACTAGACTCAATTTTTGATTTTCCACAGTTGTAGTTTCCAATAGCTTTAATTTTCTAGGATTTCTAGTGAATGGGTATAAAATTTCATTAATTGCTTTTGCATATTTGAATTTAGGCTTTTCTGCTTCTTCAAGAAAAAGACAGCAATGCCTCAAAAATTCTAGAAGAAAGAGAAAGTTTAACCGAATTTGGAATATGGGTGGATAATGTCACAGCTGCATGGAAAAAAGTAAGGCATAGCTTCATTTTATTTAATTAACTGTACTGTACATTACTCGCATGATATGAATGCACCCTAAGTGTCGCATGCCGTCTCACAAACACCAGTTATTTTTTCTAAAATTGTGAAATTATTGGTTGCACATTAGAAACTGCAGTTACATCATTATTTTCTGTATTTTTACTTTGTAAAATATTTGTGAATTAAGGAAATAACTTACAATTTATTTACTTTTTTTCTTTTTAAAGGAAACAACATTGAATGATATTTCTTTAAACGTACAGCCTGGAGAATTACTAACTGTTATAGGTCCTGTTGGATCAGGAAAGGTAAATATCTTGTTCTACAGTTCTATATTTTAATTTAATCATGTGCTTTGTGATTTTAAGATTGTTTAGAATAATTAACAAAATTGAATTTAAATAATCAAACACATTTATCTATTAGTAATGAAACTAACTTTTAAATTTAGATAATAAATTTGTTCTACGATATTTAATTTATTATGTTATCTGATTATTGTATTGGTGGAGGCAGTTATTTTTTTACCTAAAATCGCCTTTTTTTCTTTCTAAAAATAAATTTAAATTTGTTTTTCTATTTTCGTTTTTAATTGATTAAAAAAACTGAAAACTTCTCGTAAATTTTTTAGTATTATTTTTTCGTTTGCCTAATTCGCCATGCTGTCAACATCTAGACCTTTTATGTAGACAATAGAAAAAAAACTATTGTTTACATAAAAGAAAGTAATTTGTAACAAGTCATTTTACATCTTTAACTGGATATAGGCCTATTTATACTTACATTTTGTAGAATTTTTTCATTTAACATATCTCATTTAAACGTAATTTTATATGTAAAAATAACAACAGAATAGTATGTTTTAAAATTTGATTTTAAATTAATCGCAATATTTAATGCATATTATTGAAATGGTTATGTATTTATATTATATATGCATAGTTTTCAATTCAAATAATCAAACGTTTTATTCATTCCATTAGACTTCTCTATTAATGTCGATATTGGGAGAGATTCCGATAAGTTCTGGTAGGGTGACAGTTAAAGGAAAGATCGCTTATGCTTCTCAAGAAGCTTGGGTATTCAACGACACTATCAGAGAAAATATCTTGTTTGGAGAAGAATATCAAGAAGATAAGTATAGAAAAATCTTGTATATCACCGCTCTTGAAAAGGTAATAAACTTTTTTTATTTTTTTTTGTCAACACTTTTAAATAATTATATGGTTGGAAAACCACTTGTTTCATATAACAAGTCAATAAAATAACACTGAAGATAAAGCGTGATATTTGTTTAAAGTTGATTATATACAAGGAGTAATCTATTATATTGCTAGCGGAACACAGACTAGTGAAAGAAATTTTCCTCCATAATTCGCAAAACATAGTGTTCAATAAATTCGATATAAAAATATATCAGTAGTGTCATAGCTATTCAAAAAATAGATAAGTTATTCACTTCTATACTTAGGATTCATTCATTATATCATTTATATAATTTATATCATTCCCAGAAAATTTTCTTCATTCAAAGAATAAAATAACAATTAAGTATCAGATAATTAAAATGATTTCTTACAACTAAAAACATAATTATGAGTTACTATTTTATTTACAACTCATAATTAGTGTTTCCAATTTTTGAAAATTTCTGACCCGGTACAAAGTCCTAGAATATAAGGTTGCCTCATAGAAAAGAAACGCTTTTCATTGGTTGCTTATTTGACGTCACTTTTAGTCGAAAACGAAACATCTTACTATGTCCTTATGGTAAAAACATTACCGATCAGAGGATCGTAGCTTTAATTACACGCTAATATTTTATTAATTTCGATTCTTACGTAATTAAATATAAATAAAAATGGATTATAAATAAGTGAAATCCGGAATATTGAGCAAATCTTCGTAATTTTTACGTGTAAAGTTGAAATTAAAATGCATTTTTCTACTTTCTAAATGAAATCGATTTTTTCTATTTTATGACATTATAACAATAGTTTTTTAAAAATTAATTTTAGTAAATTGTACATATGTGATTTATATATAGTAAATTAATTTAATTTCTATCGTCAAACTACTTTTTTTGAACTAAAAATAATATTGGTTTAATTTTTAATTTTTAATACTCATGTGCCGAAAACGATATTATTGATATCAATATATACAAAATAAAGTTTCAATTCATTTTTTATATTATAAACATGTTTTCGATATCAATATATATGTTACCGGCAAAGTACTGCATTCTATAGAATGCCTAAGCATTGTATATTTTATTTTATTTATTTATATATTTCTCAAAAAGACACTGTGACCAGGTTGGCCTTTTACAAGTAACTTAAAGCAAAATCAACAAAACCAAAAAAAAACAAAGTGCCGTAAAACTATAATGCGTAAAACTAGCCGGCAATCTATGAAACGATTCATATTTTACAAATTTCCTAGGAATTCTATAGAATGCCGAATGAGAAACCGGCAAAGTATGAAATACATCTCCGTGGCAAGACACGTGGCAATCGAATATCACGTGGCAAGGCACGTGACTTTTAACACTGCGGTTTGTTCGGGAGTGTCAAAATACGTAATTTTACTTAAATTTGTTCAAAAAAATTAGTTTTTTACTGTGCTCCATGAAAATGGAGGAGCAAGCTGTAGTGTTGGAGAAGGTGTCATGGTCTATAGACATAAAACAACGATTCGACGATGAACAGTCCAAAATTCGAGTTAATGCTGTATAAAACAGTATTTTTTTTAACGAAACTACTTACCAGAAGTTAATAAATGATGTACAAAAAGCCATAATGACTACTAAGAAGGAACTTGGGACTATTGGTTGCTGAATCGCTATGATGTGATGATTATAGAAAACAAAAGTAAACTCATTTATGCTGTAAAAGAAGGCATCAGTACTATACAGTATTAGGTCACGGACTCAGAGTTATTTCACGTACTTCATGAAGCTCATTGGCTATTGGACACGGAGGACATGATAGAATGTTGAAAGAACTTTCAACCAAATACAAAAACGTTACACGTCATGATATTGAATTGTACATCCACCTTTGTGAACCTTGCCACAAAAAACAGAAAGATATTAAAAAGGGCATTGTTGTGAAACGTGTGATTTTTTCCGAATTTAATTCCCGTTGTCAGGTAGATTTTATTGACTTTCAGTCGCAGCCATATAGAAAATACAAATTTATTATGGTGTACCAAGACCATCTCACAAGATTTGTGATTCTTAAGTCTATAACGTCAAAAAGAGCTGAAGAAGTACCCTACAACCTAGTGGACATATTCTCGTTGCTTGGAGTCTGACAATGGTAGGGAATTTGCCAATAATGTGGTGACCAGCTTGAAGAAGTTTTGGCCAGCACTGAAGATCGTCCATGGGAAGCCTCGCCATTCACAATGCCAGGGTAGTGTCGAAAGAGCTAATCAAGATATCGAAAATATGCTTGGATGTAGGCCAACAAATCTGACCGCTGGAGTGAAAGACTACGTTTCGTTCAATTTATGAAAAATAGAGTTTATCATTCTGGGATCAAAAGAACACCATACGACGCTCTTTTTGACTGCAAGCCTAAAGTAGGGCTTACATCGTGTTTTCTACCAGAAGACGTTTTAAAAGACATAAATACAGAGGAACAGCTAGAGAAAGTAATAGAAAGCGTCAAAACAATGGAAAAAGATGAAACTAATCAGATTATGCAAAAAGAGCCTGTTTTAAAAAACATGAATGAGATTATAGTCGCTAATGGATTAAACCAACATGATGAAGACATGCTTACCGAAAAGATTTCCGTTTCTGATACCCGTTGTGTGTTTAAAGGAAACGAGTGATGCACTTGCATGCAAAAAATGTCGTCAAAAAATTCATACCTTGTGTGGCCATGCTAGTAAAGATGATGAAATGGATATTTTGTGCACCCTTTGTTTCAAAACTGAAAATGCTATTGAAGATAAAATAAATTTTAAAATCAATCTGGAAATACAAGTCAAAAAAATGAAAATGAATTCGGAAAAAAATTCTCACTGCTTCTTTGGGAACTACTGTGGGAGTTTCTATTCCTGACGTCGACAAGGGGCGAGGTGATTCGCGCAATGTATTGGCAGTTGTAATGAGTGTGACAGAGGATGGTTTCTACCGACTTGAAACTTCTGAAGGAATTTTAAAACAAGTATATGCGAGATCACAATTTACTTCATGCCCTAAGAACTTGCTTAGAATTGAAGATATTCCTGACCATGAAATTCCTCTCCGGTCAGTTGCAATTGCTCAGTCCAGTGGAAGTGGCCAAGGATTCGTCAAACGTATGTGTAAAACAAAGTGCCAAAATATGAAATGTCTTTGCGTGAAAAATGTAATGAAATGTAATTCAGAATGTCATTCAAGCCTACCATGTTGCAACAAGTAGGCTAATTTTAATTTCTTATTTTTTATATGAAAATTTTGTTTCCTTTAATAAGAAAGTCATAAATTTTGTTTTGTACAACTTTCATTTTTTTACGTATTTTGAATAAATTTTTTTAATGGCACTCTCATTATTTTCAGAATAACATTTGTATTTTTGAGGAATGTACGTCATTTATATAATAGCCTTATCAGGACCTTTTTTTATACTTTGCCTAAATAGCATTTGTCATGCTATAGAATGCCTAGGTATTATATACAATGCCTAGAGAAAGTATGTAATAATTCGCATATTTCATACATTGCCTAAAAACGCCGGGCATTATATACAATGCCTAGGTATTCTATAGAATGCCGGCTTTTCATACTTTGCCGGTAACATATACAAATCAAGTGTTATGTAAAAACAATTAAATCAGGTATAAACTTTTTTTAATTGTCTATTATTATTATAATTTACTTTTCTTTTTGCAGTGAAACGATCATATTTAATTAAATTGTTCAAAAATTTTTTAATTCTTCATTTTCCTGAGATATATATAAATAATCATTTACATTGCATGAATTTTCAGATATTCCTTGTTCTTTAGAACAAGACATATCTGAAACTTTTTGCAGTAAATCTGCCTCTTCAAACATTTCATTTATTAAATAATTTTCAGCTATCTAATCGTCTTTGTTTAGTTTATTTTGCAATATCCCTGGTGATTTGCCTAAAATTATCATTCTTACTCTATATATTACTTCAAGTGGACTAGGATGATCATTTAAACCACCTCTAGTTCGAGTGTGTGAAAATAGATTTTCTAAAGAATCCTGATTTACTTTACACATTAAGATATAATGGTATTTAGGTATTTGAACTAAGGTCGAAAAATAAATCTTTAATAGATTTAATAGATATAAGCATTCCTTTTAGAAATGTTTGAAGTGATTGTTTAGATACACATCTCGTACTTTCAATTATTCTGTATTATCAAGTATATTATATTGTTCAGTTATGTTAATGCCATAAGCACATTTGGAGGAATAATCAATTTTGTAATGAAAATTGGGTGTTCAACTATTCATAACATCAAACCATGCATTAATTGATGATATAAATTCAGAAGCTGCTAAGGCATTTACAGTTTTAATATATCTTTTAATAGCAATAGCTGTAGAATTAGAAAATAATTCACAAGCTAGTCTAACATTTTGTCGTTAAAATTTTTGACATGCTATATGCTATTCTTTTAATTTATGGCAAACTTTTATTTCATTGGAATCTATTTGAAGTAACTGTTGTAATGAGTCTTTGTTTATTAATGTATGATCTGAAGTTAGAAAACCTGTATCTAAAAACCAATTTCTAATGAGTTTTAACAAATGAGGTGCATCTGGAAAATAGTATATATTATTTCTATTAGATGGATGTATAAATTTAGTATCGAATATATTTATCCCTAATTCCTTCCATAATCCTATATTTTGTCCACCGCAGTCACTAACAACAGCAACAACAGTATATCCTTCATCAAAAAGTTTTGAAATAACAGTAAATAAAAGTTGTTTTTTTATTTTAACATCAAAATCCATGTAAACTGGTTGTTTCCATTATGCAAATAGTCCTCTTGCCATCATTACTAAAACTTGATTATTGGGTCCTATAACATTATCACTCACGTTATCATATTCATATATATGCTTTACCTAAAATATCAGTAAAATGTTAAAACAGAATATTAAAATAATTATTGAATTATATGGTTTTATCAATAT